TCCACTTTAAAACAAGAAGTATTTAGAAAAAGAACTATATTGAAGAAGTACACGGAAGAAAGAGAGTGATGCGAGAGAAGGTACGGAGTGTGTGTGTGTGTATGGGGGTTTGTGTGTGTGTGTGTGTGTGTGTCTGTGTGTGTGTGTCTGTGTCTCTGTGTGTGTGTGTTTGAAGAGCTGTGTGTGTGTCTTCCACAGGGCAGCTGCGGCTGTGGCTGCGGCTGTGGCTGACCTGACGCTGATCCCAAACGGCTCTGACAGATTTCTGATGATTTTTGAAAAAGCTGAACCTCCAGAGACTGAGAACAGAACATTTTTGAAAGAACAAGGAAAGAAATAAAGGCTGCCAGAGAATAATAAATATTTATTATTTTGTTTTGAGCCAAAAAACGGTATAATAATAATAAGTAATATTATTAAAATATAATTTTATATATTAATAATATATATTTATTACATCTCATAGTCTTTAGTGTTATCATATAATATGCAATATTTGCAAATTGTGGCATATTTTTTATTGATATAATCATAATTTGGACAGTTTTGGTTCGTATTTGCCACGTGACTGTTTTAAGAAACTTAAAAACCTGTTTCTTTGTTTTTAGGCTTTAGTCAAAGTGTAGTAGTTTTTTGACATGTGTACATTTGTCTAAAAACTACTTTGTGTCTTTAGAAATCTAAAATTACAGATACTAAATATTGAATCTTATTATATGTCTTGTGTGCTCCTCTTTCCTGCTGTTCTGTAACTTGTGATGCAACAGTGAAATTTCCCACCACAGAAGAAGAAAGGAACTCTTCATCTTAACGTGACTTAAATTTCTAAACTGAACAAAACACATTTTGGTTTTGGACTAAACCTGGAGAGGCAGTTCTTAGGACTGTATCTTGTGCTATACATATAAACTTGCCTTCCTCTCTTTGCCTGCTCTGTAAAACTACGAGAAACAAATGAGAATAATCTGTTCATGGAAGAAATGCCAGGTATTGTCAGTGAAGGAAGTCCTCTTATTGGACGAGCACATGTCACCAGAATGATTGACAGCTGGGAGGACCAATAGCTGAAGCAGACAGTCCTCCTGTATCCTTTATGTTGTTTTGAGTTGAGTAACTTCTGCTCGTGTCGACACTTCCATTCTTCAGGTTGGTCCTTTATCAACAAACACTGCAGATCGCTGTGACTAAAGAGAGAGGTCCTCGGAGACGTGAGGCACTCGGGGCCAAATTATCCGCCGCACCGGTGTAACGCTCTCCCTGGTGCTTCATCTTAATTACCGCCGCAGAAGCCATGCAAATCCGATTGGCCATTGATGCCAGGAAACTCATAACCACACGGAGATATTAATTACCCCGGCAGGATTCACGCTATATTTGATATGCACACGGCATCGCCCGCCATTACAGCGTCGTGTTTGGAGCGCCCGGGGCCCTCGCGTACGTGTCAGCGGTAATCAAATCTAAACGTTGACAACAACACATCGGGCCGATCGATGTGGGACGGGGCGGATGCTTTGATGCTGGAATTTTAATCTCTTCCCGTCCCGTTGGTGTGTAGCGCTTAATCTGTGTCAATATCCTGTTAGCGAGTCGCGCACACACAACACTGCTCAGCCCCAGTCAGTGGATTTCCTTTTCTCAGAGCGGGTCCTTTAAGTTCTATTGTTCATAAAGAGTTAGATTAAAGAGAGTCGATGTGAATTAGCAGATGAGGGTTAGGGTCAGGGTCTAGACCTGACCTGGAACTATGACCATGGTCTGGGCCTCACCTGGAACTATGACCAGGGTCTAGACCTCACCTGGAACTATGACCATGGTCTAGACCTCACCTGGAACTATGACCATGGTCTGGGCCTCACCTGGAACTATGACCAGGGTCTAGACCTGACCTGGAACTATGACCATGGTCCAGACCTCACCTGGAACTATGACCAGGGTCTAGACCTCACCTGGAACTATGACCATGGTCTAGACCTCACCTGGAACTATGACCATGGTCTGGGCCTCACCTGGAACTATGACCATGGTCTAGGCCTGACCTGGAACTATGACCATGGTCTAGGCCTGACCTGGAACTATGACCATGGTCTAGGCCTGACCTGGAACTATGACCAGGGGCTAGACCTCACCTGGAACTATGACCATGGTCTAGGCCTGACCTGGAACTATGACCATGGTCCAGACCTCACCTGGAACTATGACCAGGGTCTAGACCTCACCTGGAACTATGACCATGGTCTAGACCTCACCTGGAACTATGACCATGGTCTGGGCCTCACCTGGAACTATGACCATGGTCTAGGCCTGACCTGGAACTATGACCATGGTCTAGGCCTGACCTGGAACTATGACCATGGTCTAGGCCTGACCTGGAACTATGACCAGGGGCTAGACCTCACCTGGAACTATGACCATGGTCTAGGCCTGACCTGGAACTATGACCATGGTCTAGGCCTGACCTGGAACTATGACCAGGGGCTAGACCTCACCTGGAACTATGACCATGGTCTAGGCCTGACCTGGAACTATGACCATGGTCTAGGCCTCACCTGGAACTATGACCATGGTCTAGGCCTGACCTGGAACTATGACCATGGTCTAGGCCTGACCTGGAACTATGACCATGGTCTAGGCCTGACCTGGAACTATGACCATGGTCTAGGCCTGACCTGGAACTATGACCATGGTCTAGGCCTCACCTGGAACTATGACCATGGTCTAGGCCTGACCTGGAACTATGACCATGGTCTAGGCCTCACCTGGAACTATGACCATGGTCTAGGCCTGACCTGGAACTATGACCATGGTCTAGGCCTGACCTGGAACTATGACCAGGGGCTAGACCTCACCTGGAACTATGACCATGGTCTAGGCCTGGGTCTTGTGCAGCAGCTGAGGATGTGTTCATAAATGGAGCAACACTGACCTCTCCTGGTGACTTTTATAATGAGTCTTTTTAAAACACCCTTTTTTCAGTGTTAAAATATCTCTCTTCCTCTCTCTGCCCGTGAGTGAACATGAACCAAGCATTCGCCCATAAACACAAAACCCTAAAGAACACTGTATTGTCTGTGAACAGGTAATGTGGGCCACTCCATCTCGCTTCAATGTGGGCCACTGCATCTCGCTTCAATGTGGGCCACTCCATCTCGCTTCAATGTGGGCCACTCCATCTCGCTTCAATGTGGGCCACTGCCTGCTGCAGGGACAGGCCGAGGGCACATGTTTTCTTTACAAATATTAAAATCCGCCTTTATTTCTGCCTCTCATGAAGTTCTTTTGCAGATGTTTGAAACCGGAGCCTTGGGTTTGGTGAAGGTCATGTTTTCACCTTCACCAAACCCAAGGCTCCGGTTTCAAACATCTGCAAAAGAACTTCATGAGAGGCAGAAATAAAGGCGGATTTTAATATTTGTTCACTTCAATTCTATTCAGATAAAATATTCCTTTCTTCATCCCACAGAGGGAGATTTCAGTGTCATGGCTGCACATTATTTTTTATTTTTTTTGAATGGAACAGTGCATGTCGATGAACAGAGACATTAAAAACATGAATGTAAATATGCAGATTATATTTCCATCTGTACTATAGGGTCAGGGTCAGGGTCACATGGTCAGGGTCACATGGGTCAAAAATACAGCAGAGAAAGAAGGAAAATGAGACTCAGACGCACACATCAGTTTATTATTTAAGATTAGAGATGATAGAGTTTTAAAAGTAAGATAATATGATGGTAAAATTGAATAAAAAAGTAATTTCTGGAGCTATAATGTGTCACATGGTTCAAGAGTATTTACAGATGTTTGTTGTTCTGTAGCAGCAGAGACTATGAGCAGAATAAACAATAGTAAAGTGACTAGAGAATGGCAAAATATCAGATGGATGCAGTGATAATAATAATAATAATAATAATAATAAAAATAATAACAGGTAAAGTGACTTGTGAATTCTTATCAGTGACTCTTGTACAGACTCAGCCGTTCTCGTTATACAGTCTGACAGCAATTCAACTTATTTTTGTAAACCTCTAACCCACAGCAGCAGTCGTCTCAGATTACTTTACAAGTTTATAAAATCTGAATCAAAAAGAGGAAATGCAGTTATAAGAATCAGAGCCATTGGTCCAGAGGCAGAGGACGATAAACGTTCATTAAAACATACAAATCAACAAAACAAAACTAATCTCTGGCCTTAGACCCTCCGGCATCACAGAGAAAAAAAAAATGGAAAAGTGTGTGGGCTTTAGATCCAGGACTCTGCGATTTTACGGTAAAATCATAATTTTTTTATCTGAATGAATTAGTGTAAAACCTGAAGAGAAGTGTTTGACTCTATTCAGTTTGTATGTGTTTAAATCATCAGTGAATTATAATAAATATAACAAAGGTCCATGTGTGAGGACCATGTGTGAGGATCGTGTGTGAGGACCATGTGTGAGGACCGTGTGTGAGGATCATGTGTGAGGACCATGTGTGAGGATCGTGTGTGAGGACCATGTGTGAGGATCATGTGTGAGGACCATGTGTGAGGATCATGTGTGAGAACCATGTATGAGGGTCATGTGTGAGGACCATGTGTGAGGGTCATGTGTGAGGACCATGTGTGAGGATCATGTTTGAGGACCATGTGTGAGGACCATGTGTGAGGATCATGTGTGAGGACCATGTGTGAGGATCATGTGTGAGAACCATGTATGAGGGTCATGTGTGAGGACCATGTGTGAGGGTCATGTGTGAGGACCATGTGTGAGGATCATGTTTGAGGACCATGTGTGAGGATCATGTGTGAGGACCATGTGCGAGGACCGTGTGTGAGGACCATGTGTGAGGACCATGTATGAGGGTCATGTGTGAGGATCATGTGTGTGAGGACCGTGTGTGAAGACCATGTGTGAGGACCGTGTGTGAGGATCATGTGTGAGGACCATGTGTGAGGATCGTGTGTGAGGACCATGTGTGAGGACCGTGTGTGAGGATCATGTGTGAGAACCATGTGTGAGGATCATGTGTGAGGACCATGTGTGAGGACCATGTGTGAGAATCATGTGTGAGGACCATGTGTGAGGATCATGTGTGAGGACCATGTGTGAGGACCATGTGTGAGAACCATGTATGAGGGTCATGTGTGAGAACCATGTGTGAGGACCATGTGTGAGAACCATGATGAGGACCATGTGTGAAGACCATGTATGAGGGCCATGTGCAAGGACCATGTGTGAGGACCGTGTGTGAGGACCGTGTGCGATGACCGTGTGTGAGGACCGTGTGCGAGGACCATGTGCGAAGACCATGTATGAGGGCCATGTGCAAGGACCATGTGTGAGGACCGCTTGTGAGGACCGTGAGGACCGTGTGTGAGAACCATGTGCGAGGACCATGTGTGAAGACCATGTGTGAGGACCGCTTGTGAGGACCGTGAGGACCGTGTGTGAGGACCGTGTGTGAGGACCGTGTGTGAGGACCATGTGTGAGGACCATGTGTGAGCACCATGTGAGCAGTAAAGACACACTTTTTTATGAGTGCCATTAAAATGTCCATCTCAGTCTGTTCTTGGCTAAAGCTCAGAGTCGTTTGTCGGCTGCCTCTGTAATGGTTCACCGACATGTCCTGGTCCAGCCTGGTTCAGCCCGGAGCCACAGGAGGATCTGAGATAATGGACCTGGCAACGCACACACAACAGATGCCACATCCTTCTGCAGCGGGCCGCCACCACCGCAGTTTGGGAAACGTTAAAGGGTAAGACTGCAAAAACTGGGATGGAAAAGACCTCCTCCACATCCACACATCCTGTATCCTCCTCTTCTCCTCTCTCCTCCTCTCTGTCCTCTCTCCTCCTCTCTGTCCCTCTCTCCTTCTCTCTGTCCTCTCTCCTTCTCTCTGTTCTCTCTCCCCCCTCTCTGTCCTCTCTCCCCCTCTCTGTCCTCTCTCCTTCTCTCTGTTCTCTCCCCTTCTCTCTGTCCTCTCTCCTTCTCTCTGTTCTCTCCCCTCCTCTCTGTTCTCTCTCCTCCTCTCTGTTCTCTCCCCTCCTCTCTGTCCTCTCTCCTCCTCTCTGTCCTCTCTCCTTCTCTCTGTTCTCTCCCCTCCTCTCTGTCCTCTCTCCCCCTCTCTGTTCTCTCTCCTTCTCTCTGTTCTCTCCCCTCCTCTCTGTCCTCTCTCCTCCTCTCTGTCCTCTCTCCTTCTCTCTGTTCTCTCTCCCCCTCTCTGTCCTCTCTCCTTCTCTCTGTTCTCTCCCCTCCTCTCTGTTCTCTCTCCTCCTCTCTGTTCTCTCCCCTCCTCTCTGTCCTCTCTCCTCCTCTCTGTCCTCTCTCCTTCTCTCTGTCCTCTCCCCTCCTCTCTGTCCTCTCTCCTCCTCTCTGTCCTCTGTCCTTCTCTCTGTTCTCTCCCCTCCTCTCTGTCCTCTCTCCCCCTCTCTGTCCTCTCTCCTTCTCTCTGTTCTCTCCCCTCCTCTCTGTCCTCTCTCCTCCTCTCTGTCCTCTCTCCTTCTCTCTGTCCTCTCTCCTCCTCTCTGTCCTCTCTCCTTCTCTCTGTTCTCTCTCCTCCTCTCTGTTCTCTCTCCTCCTCTCTGTTCTCTCTCCTCCTC